ATTAAAAGTTTATTAATGTCTCTCTTCGAAGCTACAGAGGGTCATTGGCAGAATGCCCAAAAGGACCATGCTCCCTCAAAGGGGCTTAGAGCTATCCACCGGTCTCGTAATTTTGAACAATGGTCAAGAGGTGAGTGTCCGAGCCATGGTGACTTATGGTACGAGTGCCACATGTGGCACAATGTACAATTCTCAGCGGCACTTTGCACTACTCTATAAATTAGTCAACTTTTGAGTGAATGGAAGTTGATAAATTTGTAATTGACTTTACTAGACAAACATCTTCCGAATTATGGACATTTACTGGATTAGGAAAAAAATCCCAAAGGTAACTCTAAAAATAATTTACATCTATTTTGTAAATGATTGAATGTCATTCCTGGAAAGATTGAATTGTTTGAAGAGAGAAAATTGCATGTACTCTGATTTCCGCTTTTGGTTCAATATATCACAGTGAAAAAAAATCTTTCCTCATATAAAAAATATTTCAAGTCGCAGAGAAGAAATTGTTTAACAGCTGAATGCTCAGAATAATGTCAAACTGAAAGTCATAATTATACCTCTGGTTTTGTGATATGAAAGTAAAGTGATGGAAAACTAAGTCCCCATTAAAATTTTTATTTATCTTTTTGTTTAACTGTAATGAAGGGAAATACTTTGAAATTTAGTTCTCAAACTCACTGGCACAACAGCCCATGAGGGCCAAGGCCTACTGTGCCCATCTCAGTTTACGTTACCATTGGGCGCTGAGGTGCTTGAGCAGATGTCCCGATCAGGTGGACAGTCTGAAGAAATTTAGTTCTGGTTCTGTTATAATTTGTGGAGCTCATGAATAGAGAGTAACTTAAACTAAAACTTGCAAAGAAATGGTATATTGTAAGGTCTATTGAAAGGTCCACTAGATATGAATATGAATGCGAGGTGCATTAAGCTTTAAGTAAGAGAATAAATACAACGGACTTAAGCAAATGTATCAGGAGGTACATTGAAAAGAGTTTGAGAATCACTGTATTAAATCGTTGTAATATTTATATGCTTTGGTTGTTTACTTACTCATTATTCATTTACTATACATGATTATTATAATTTATTAATTTGTAACTTTAAATATGTTCTTCGATGCTCTCTATAGAAGTATAAATATTTTGAATTATTTATTGAGATGCAAACATTTGTTTGTTATGTCCTTAATTATTGGAATCAAGTGAAGTATTGCTTTTCATTTTTTTAAAAAACGATTTATTTCTATCTTATAAATATAATATTTGTGTTTTTGTTATATTTCTTCCAAAGAATGTATTTGTTAAGTTTCTATTATTTAAAAATTTTTTATCTTCAATAAAACAATTGAAATTTTGTATAAATTCTTATCATCGTAAATTCAATAATATTCAATGTTATACATTTTATAAAAATATTATTTTTGCATCCATGATGAAATACCTATCTATCCAAATGAAATATATATGTAATCAACTAAAAAAATGGAAAGTTTAGCATTATTAATCAAATTTCAAATTATTCTATTAATAAATTGATTAATTTTTGAAGAAAAGTATAAAAGATTCGGAAATAATTAGCGGTGTACTTCAAACATATTGATATATGTTTTAACAATAATTTAAGTTTTTTTTCTGTGGCAAAAAAATATTGAAACATAAGAAATTATTGTATTAGATTATTTTTGCAAATAAATAAGAATAAAATATATTTTGCAATTGTTTTCAAATTAACGTATCCAAATAATTTTTTTTAAAACTATATGTAATTGCAAAATCAACAACGAATATCAGTATTTTCAAAGAGTTCCTTTTAAGGCTAATAAAATCAGAACATGAAAACTTAAAAAAAAGGAAAAATACATATAAAAAAAGATCAAGGGCTTAGCTGCCACCGTATCAATGATACAGGGCCCCAAACAATAGGGGGCCCAAAGTGTGAAGGAAAAAAATTAAGATGTAAGGGGACCCCTCCCTCTACCCCCCAAAAGGACTCCCAATGAATTTTGATACATAGGCTAATTAGGACTGGCTATGCCAGTAGAAAAATTCAATTTGCTTAGCATTAAAAATTCTGGGAATTATTTTTTCGTCATTAATAATATTAATAGATAATTATCAATGCCACTTTTAGTGAAAAAAATAAGTTACATCTATGCAGTGGAATTTTTTTAAATTTAACAATTTCAACTTGAAAGCAATTAAAAATGCTTAAATCCTTCTATAATTAACAATTATTGCACAAATAAAAAAAATTGGAACAATAGTTAAAATCCATAGAGAAGGCGGGTACCTAAGACCCTTTTATTGATTGAACCTTGATTATATGTGAACTTTTTAGACAAATGATTTAAAAAATTAAAAACAAAATATATAAGGAATGTACTCAATTTTTGAATGAATAGAAATAGTTACATTTTAAAGTTTACCCAAGCACACAACACCCCTTAAGAACTTCTAGTATCATGTAATGTCTTACCACGATCAATAAGTATTCCGTTTACGAAAGGGCGATAAATTCTTTACGACCTCAGAATAATACCTAAAGGGATAAAACAGGACTCATCCAAAAACGATTGCTTATAAACCACGTTTATGATTGATTGAAAGGCTTTTATAAATAATATTTGGAATGTAACATTGAATTATCGAAATCCTTTTATACCTTTCTAGTATCTTAGTACGAAGTATAGTACAGTTCTCTATAGTAAATCGTTTAAAGCAACTCTAATACGACCCATTTTACACTTAGATATCCACCCTTATTTTTTAAATCTGGCAACTTACCAAGCGTGACATTAAGTTTATCGTTTAGTGTATGATATTCCGTTATATGTCCAATAATAGGGCAGGAAAATACGACACCGTTGGCTGTTAATGTTTATTCAATATCTGGTAAAATTTCTCTTCTTGTATAGGAAGGAATATTTGAAGCAAGCTTTCTAAATGTAGTGTTAACTAAAAGCCTTTTTTCGGTGGATTTAGTTCAATAATTTTTAAAGGGGAAACTAACGAAAATCAGAAATTAGTCTTGTTTATTGTTTTATTTATTTGAAATAGTGAAATAACTTTTTTTTACAGGATTTAGTTTGTTGTTTGATACAGTTACATCTAAAATTTCATTCTAATTTTTATTTTAGTAAATATTTTTCAATATTCTTAAAATCGATATTTTTTAGCTATATGATTTAATAAACACATCGATATGGTTTCCTTTCTTTCTTTAATTACTTATTATTCAATATTTTTTAATAAAATTGTCGCATTCGATGCTCTTGTAAAAAAAATAATAAATATATAATGTGGCACATTTGGAAAGTTCAAAAAGTACTTTTTGTATCTTTTCCATTCAAAATGTTTAGAACATAGGGCTATGTAATGCTTTTAAGGGTCATTTGAATCAATTCATTTGTTATAGATCAATAAGTTGCAACTGTTCCTATTTTGCTTATGATTTCTTAAATGTATTAACTAAACATATTAACAACTAAAACAGAAGTAATTTATCTTAATATGAAATTTGAAACAATAATTTGTTATATATATAATTCACATCCGAACTTTTATTTAAAAAAAATCATTTTAAAAATGAAATCAATATTACAGTTTAAATAAACTCTATTAATCTCAAAATCTTCGAAGAGTTGTGTTCAAAACATACTAAAAAAGTATAATTTCGTAAGAAATGATACCTTATGTGTGTAATGATAACAATTTGTCAAAACCTTTTGTCGATTTAGTCGGTTGGATCCTATTTTAGTACTACCTTTATTTATCGCCAACTGAGCGAATTATTGTTGTACTGTATAGAAGTCCCATAGAGAAAAAGGTGATCTGTTGGCGTATTTTGGCCTTTTTTTCCTCCTTTGCCAAATGTATGAATTAATCTAGTAATTTACCAACCAGTCCATGAAACAATAATGAAGAAGTAATTAAAGAAATAATTTAAAAAAATGTTTTATGACTAAAAGATAAATAGTTCTAACATATATTTTATGCAATTTTTTCGTTAATCTCATAAAATATAGCTTGAATGTTATTGATTCCCATTTTCTAAAAAAAAATTATATATATTGTATGCTTCACAGTTTGCATGAAATTTTTCTTGTTACATTCCAAGCATGAAAAATATGATTGTGTATAGCTAGTCACTGCAATTTGAACTTTGGAATGCACGAGAATTGAATTCTTATGTGATAACAGTTCGAAATGATTCATGTATCATGTAATTGTAAAAAAATGATGAAATAAAATCATTATTAAATATTTTCGTATTGCCATTTTTTTGTATGCTTTGTGTTCTTTTTCAATTCCTACTATTAGTTCACACTGTAAAATAATTGTAAAAATAATTGTAAGACGTGGCGAGTGGATGTTATTACTGTAGTGAACCAAAAGATAGGGCGTGGCCGGTGGTGTGATTTTCCTGTGTTACGTGGTGAGTGGTCGAGTACTGTATTAATCGAAGAGGCACTCATGTAAATCAATAATCCAGTTTATTCACATCTGGAAACACATAAAGATCAAGTAGAGACGGCATTACACATAACGAGAAGCAAACATCATGGCACAGACAAAGGCAAACATAGAACGTGCGGCAGCCGGCTGATTACATGATGAAGGCAAGCAGACAAAAGAGAGCGATTACACAAGATTTTTACTTTTATACCGGCAGTGGTTATTACGTAATAGTAGTTCTGACAGGATAGAATGGGTGGGACAGGAATTTAGGATTAGCCGATTATGATTAAGATTACAGTGTTTGTTTCAAGCCAAATAATTAAAAGATTATTTGAATATTATTAAAAAGAGTTAATTATAAAAGGATGCTAGGGGGAATTGCTTTCAAATACATTTTTTTAAACTTGTAGTGGATGACACTTGATGTTAAAACAGTTTTTTTCAAATATTAATTCATTAATTAAGTTTAATTAATGAATAAATAGTAAAAAAATAAAAATAATAGTCCAACACCATAAATAAAAGAAAAACTCTCGTTGTGTCCCTGTAGTGCAATAGATAGCGCGTTGGACTTCTAATCCAAAGATCGTGGGCTCAAATTCCACCTGGAATGACCTAATTTCTGAGAATGTGATTTCTTTTTAATATTTTATTGGGATAATTTAATTTAATTAATAAATAAATAGTAACAAACAAATAATAGTACAACACCCTGTATAGGAAGGAAAATGGAAAATTGTAAGGAAAATCGCTTTCTACTTTGTCACTTAATATTGTGATTCTGTCATATGTATATACATAATTATATTAATTGTAACTATTTAATAAAAAGTAACTAAAATAAAAATTTTCTTTTTTGACCTAAGTAGGAACTGACTTAAAAAATTGTTTGTATATTACTTGTTATCGACAATTTTATGAATGTATGATGCATATAAATGTAGAAAGGGTTTATTATCTTGCTTTGTGTATTTAAAATCACCAATATCAGTATTTCACCCTTTTTGCAAAAGGAATAAGTATTTTAAGTGAGATAAGACCACACACACACACAATGAATTTAGAAATTCTATAAAAATTATTTTATGTAAAGATATTTTTGACTCCCTTCACTGAGATTAAATAAGAATGAATAATGGGGCTCTCAGCTACCCCCAAATCAATTGTATTAATGATACGGGGCCCCCAACATGTGTAATATTTTTACCCTTTTTTGACCTTCATGTGTAATATTAATGCAATCATTTTTATTTATATTCCAAAACTTGGTACAGGTCTCACAGGACTAGCTACTCCAGTGATAAAGAAGATTTATCCCCATAAAATATTAAAGTGTATTTAAATGTTTCTAATAAGATTGAAAATCATGTTGTGCATTTCTTTCAGAGAACAAATACTACAAAAATAAAATGAACAAAGACGATTCTAACGTGATAATATTTCGTACATTTAAAGTATCCGACTACGTTAGGAACCGTGATTTCGTAAAAGCGCATAAATGGATAATTTTCATGATATTTAGTGTCACTTAGATTAGAATACATGTATAAAATTGTTTTAAGTACATTTTGACAAAATTATTTAAATGAATATTTTGAAAAATTAACTGGGAATAATCTTTTTTCAAATGTTCTCCTTTGTGAAAAATGCTTCTATTATAATAATATTTTGCCAATATTACTAAACACCTCTCTACAGAGGCTCAACTAAATTTTTGAAATATATAACTTAAAGTGGGTTTATTATATTTTACGACAACAAAGGGGAGCTTTTTTAAAGCCATAATTTTTAAAATTTGGTTTGAACTCTGAAGTTTTTGTAAATTTTTCAAAATGGGTTGAGCCTCTGACAGAGGTCTGAACTATAGCAAAATATTGTTATAATAGATTGCTTTTCCAAAAGACATTTTGAAAAAGATTATTCTAAGTTAATTTTTTGCCAAAATATTGTATTTAAATAATTTTTTTTTTTGTCAAAATAAAACATTAAAACAATTTTATGCATGTATTCTAATCTGAGAAACCCTAAATACGTGAAAATATCATTTATGCGCTTTTAAATGGTTCGAAGTATCAGAACCTTAAAATCAGAACTTTCGGATATCCTTTTTTCTGTTTCTTCGCAATTTTTCCCAAATTTGTGAAAAGAATGTTAATTATGACGTATTCAGTGTAAGAAATTGAAAATTGATTTTTGATATGGATCAGGCAATAAATTGAATAATTTATTAAACCTCCTGAAGTGATAGGGAATAAATAAGAGAAAAGTCAACTGTAGGAAAATATATAGTATGTAGATTAAAAATTAGAAAATAAAGAAATAATTAAAAAATTTACTCAATGCTTTGCTGAATTTTTTAAATGTTTGCTGCAAACACACATAAAATTTTAAAACATTTTGAGTTTTCGATCTGCTATTTTAATCATTCAGGTAGTAAATGAATCAGTTAAAATATGAAACAGCCCTTCTGATTTTTATGGGTTGAAATCCGGATACCATATACTCACAATAGTGGCGCACACAAGGGGTCCTGGGGGGTCTTGACCCCCAAAACCCTTGGGTTTTTTTCTGATTGACTATAATTCTAAGTATATAGTACGCAAAATTTAATTAAATATTTGTTATTAATGATTAATTTTATTAATTAACGCTAATTATTTATTCAATAATTAGTTTTTTATTGTGTTTTGTTCCCAAAAATTGACAAAATCAAAAGGAGCCTGATACAAGAATGGTGAACTTTCAACCCCGGACCCCCGAAAAATTCCTGTGTGCGCTACTGACTCACAAACATACATAAAAAATACTGAAACATTTTTTAATCTCCTTAAGTAAGAAAATGGACCTATAAAGAAAGATAGAATTTAATTTTTACATTTATTGAAAAAATATTTATTGCTAATAAAACTGTTACATATATTCCACAAGTTGGAGAATTAATTTCATCTTTAAACATAATCCATTGTATCTGAATAATGATAAAGAAGAGAAAAATGAGGTAGGATCGAATTTTAATTAAGAAAAGACAAAAAAAAAATCCTTTCAATATATGTATGCTATTATTTACAACAAAACCCCCCACCTTTTTTAACAATGTTTTATTATTATTATTATTGCGAGTTATGCATGTATCTATTTGGGATTCACTAAACACTATATTTTAACTCTCTATAGTACTAGTGTAGGGGTGGCCAAACTTTTTGGGAAAAGTGCCACTGCCTGATAAAAAAAATTATGTGTGGCAGCTTCAATTTTTCCAACAAATAAAAGAAATAATATGAAAAAGGGAAAAAATGTTACTTATAAGCTTAGTATGGGATTTGTACAAATATATTACATTTTTTTAGATCCAGTCATGTATATATATATATAAGTAGTGGAAATTAAAAATAATATAATAAATAAGACAAAAGTACAAACTTTGGTTTTATTGCTAATAAGCCTTTTACAGGTTCAATCAGTTAAGTTATATGTAACATAAAAATGAGTAACTTGAAAAATTTAACTCTAAATAATTATTAAACAGTCAGTGTACTTTTAATAAGCTTTTGAATTAGTAATATTTTTTTTACTAAGTCGTCTATATAAGGATTAGCCATTGAAGGTGCTGATAACATTAAGTTGTTTTAGGTGCATACCAGCTAATTTTGAGCGATATTTTGATTTTATGTTTAAATAGAAAACATTTATGCACAAACATATATTGATCCAAGTTTTGAGGGGTTTTTTTTTGTCTGAGACAACCGCATTTATATAAATAAAACTGCAAACAAAAACATGTTTTTTTATTATAATCTTTTCAAATTTTTTAATTTTTCAGTAAGTCTTCGCGTGCCACGGTTACAACTCCGCCCGTGCCGCGAGTTGGCCACCCCTGCACTAGTGGGTAGTAGTCCCATTTTCAAAACCGTTGCTATTTGAACAACATATGAACTAAAAAAAATTTCTGGACTTCACATAATCTTTAACGAAAGTGTTTTGAATTATATAAAATTATCAATATTATGCGGAAATTTTGAAAT